TCCTTTTTTCTCATCCAGAATGTATACAGTAGTTAACATTGCAAGCTGAAAAATCCTTAAGCTTCTGCTAGATTCTGGCAGAATACACTTCCAGTATCAGTTGCTGCTCTACAGTGTTTTCTCCGACATAATGAAGCCTTTGGCCATCATTGCTGCTTTGAAAATCAAAGCCTTTTGGTCTCTAATGGAATGTTTATCAAAATACTACATTTTGAAATTTGCTCAGGAAAAGGAAGTATGGTAAATGATATTAGAAATCCCTCCGGCTTGCCTTGGCATTACTTCATTTTATATTGCGTGTTCTGGAAATGTCTGGAATTAGTGTAAATAAGAGATTATCCCACAATAAATAAGCACTTTCCTTATTGTCCTTTTCTATGAGAACAAAACATCAGATATGTATTCTAATTGTTATTTCTATATGGTAAAGAAATTGCCCTCTCCCAAATCTTATTATTGATCCTTTGGCTAAGCTAAAAATCCCATAACATCTATATCAAAGGTCTCATATATTTGCAGTCTTTTACTAAAGTGAAATTGAAACTTTTTTTTTTTTTTGATACAGCAGTACAGAATGCCAAGCCTATAGTATAAAAGTTACACTGTTTATGACAGTCTCTGTTACTTTCCTTGGTGTTAATTTTTTTAAAAGCAAGTAAATAATCAGTTGTGTTATACATATTTAGTAATATAGTGACTGCCGTAATACTTACATGTAAAAGAGAACAAAGGACTTTGAGCTTATCCTGTGGGGTTGGCTCTGTCTTAATGTAATGTAAGGCACTGATAAGTCTTTGAGTAAGAGAATGACATTTATTCAAGAACATTTAACGAGGGATGGTGTATACTGGGATTATTGCCCTATGGATATAGCAGTATCTACAAGACAGACTCCTTGCTCTCCTGGTGCATCTACCCTGATGGGATAACGAGACAAAAAGCAAATTACATGGATTGATTAATTAATTGATTGAATCCATGGCTTTCACTACACATTTCCATCAGTTTTCACACTTGTATTCCTTATTTACATGGTGAAAAGTTCTGTTCATTCAAAGTATTACAGACTTCCAAAGTGTTTATATAGAACTTTGGGAAATTGGGGCCAGGAGCAGTGGCATGGTTGTTAAGGTGCTGGACTCCCACATGACTGACGGAGGTGCAAGTCCCAGACTAGGCAGCTTATTTCCCCTCTCTCTCCCTTTCTCTTTCTCTCTCTGGTGAGCACATATGTCCTATAGCAAATTAAAAATTAATTAATTAGTTAATTAATTCTTTTTCTGAAAAAGGGAGTCTTAACTCTTATCAGTAACGTCTACTTGCTTGATTCTCTCATATGCTGTTATTTCTCATGGCACTTCCTTTGTCGTTAGCCTTTCTTGCATAGGCCTCTGACTTCTTTTTTTTTTTTTGGAGAGGTTTTCGCTATAGGGCGCGTGCGCTCGCCCGACAGACAGAGGGAGACATAGAGACAGAAAGCAAGAAATCACCCCCCAGGGGGGATGGTCATGCCGCAATCCCTTCTCTTCCATTCTCCTTTCAGGATCTTGGGCACGCACGCACACGTGCCTGGCGTGAGTTTTAAGCCACCGGGTCCGGGACACAAACCGCGATCGACTACGTGGGAGTCCCGCGACATAGCCATTACACTAACTGCTGGTTCCCAGGCCTCTGACTTCTTAAGAACATACTTTAGTATCAGCTGACTTACTACCTGGTAGCATTATTTTATTTTAAATTATTTGATTTTTTTTATCTGAAGATGGCTTTACCATAAAAATTACACTTGAACAAAAACCAAATCTTATATTGGTAAGCAAGTATATGGCTGTCACTTTTGATTTTTGCATTAAATAAACATGCTACACAGTTTTTCCATTTAAAAACATGTGGGTTATTTGATTATGCCAGAGTAGTTACAGTCAAGAACTCACAAGCACTATTGTGAAATGAATTTAAAAGGTCTTTTTCCATTTTTTAAAAGTTCTCTTGCAAGGCTGGCAGGTAGCATGGTGGTTAAGGGCGCTGGACTCCCATATGACCGACTATAGTTTGAGTCCTGGACCTGGTGGCTTGCTTTCTCACTTTCTCTCCCCTTTTCTCTCTTGCTTTTGCTTTGTCCCTCACTGGTCAAATTAAAATAAGCAAATAAATAGACAAAAGTTAAATAAAATAATTCTTTTTAAAAAAAAAACTCTAAAAAAAAAGTTCTTTGGCAGCAGTTCTGCTAAGGACTACATTTACAGACCAAAACATTTTTAACAAAGAAGAAAATTTTTCATGTTCATTTAACCAAATCCTCATGGTAGTAAACTTTGTCTTTAAAAAGGGGATGCCCATTATTGTAATTGCTTTTAGTTTATGTTATATCTATGGTTTTTGCTTTCTTTTTTTAGAAATTGCAGGGAGTAGGGACCAGCAGTTAGCATAATGGCTCTGTCGCTGGTCTCCCATGTAGTCGACTGCAGTTCGAGTTCCAGACCTGGTGGCTTAAACTCATGCCAGACGCCTGTACGTGTATGCCCAAGATCCCGAGAGGAGAAAGGAGGAGAAGGGATTGCAGTGTGACCATCCCCCCGGGGAGTGATTTCTTGCTTTCTGTCTCTCTGTCTCTGTCTTTCTGGCGAGCGCATGGGTCCTATAGCAAGAACCTCTCAAAAAAAAAGTTGTTGCAGGGAGTATGTTCTCTCTGGGAATTCAGTTAATTGCAGTGAGTAGATCAATATTCAGCAATCATGTCTTTTAAAGTTCTTTCTAATCTCTGTATTTTATGATACTATATTTACCTTTACCTCTACTTTTTTCCCCTCAGTGACAAGAGATCAGGGATCACGTTAGGCCTCAGCTGGCAGTGAATTGGGGCGGGGATTAGGTTTAGGAGGCGAAGAGCATTAAGTAGAGTGTCTAAGATGGGCATTAAGTTGGAGTCTAGAACATGTGGTTGATTCTAACAGATGCAATTGCTGTTAGCTCCTTCTGCTATTTTTTAGTTTTTTTTTTAATACTTAATACATTTCTTAATTGTAATTTCTATAATTAGGGGAAAATTAAGAAAAAGAACCAAAAATAGAAGCAATTTTTAGAAGTTACCATCTCAAGTGCTTTCTTACAAACAGATAATCCCTGCATTCTTAGAGATTGGTTAGTGTTCATATAACTCATCAAAAAGATGATTAAGTAAAGCCTTTTGAAAAAATTGGGGGAAAGAAGGTACTTTTTGGGTTAGAATACCTTGGGGGCTAGCAAGTGGTATGGTGGTTAAGGCACTGGGCTCCTGTGTGGCCAACCATGGTTCGAGTCCTGGACCTGGTGGCTGGCTTTCTCTCTCTCTCTCTCTCTCTCTCTCTCTCTCTCTCTTTCTGTGTGTGTGTGTGTGTGTGTGTGTGTGTGTGTATGTCTCAAATTTAAAATGATAATAATAAATTAAAGTAAATAATAATTTTTTTAAAAAAGAGGAACCAGCAGATGGCTTAATGGTTATGTTACTGAACTCCCACATTAGTCTACCATAGTTCGAGTCTCAGACCTGGTGGCTTAAAACTCACGCCAGGCACATGTTGTGCATGTCCAAAATCCCAAGAGGAGAAGGGATTGTAGCATGACCATTGCCCACCCGGGGGGGGGAGGGTTAATTTCTCATTTTTTTTCTCTTTGTTTCTCTCTTTCTCTTCAGCAAGCACACATGCCCTATAGCAAAAATTTCTCTTAAAAAAAAAAAGGAATGAAAGGCTTATGTTTGGCCTATAAGAAGCATTCCTGAAAGGAAGAATTTTTCTTGATAATCAGATAGAATTTAAGTTAGATATTTTATATCCCTTGGGGCTGGGACAGTCCTGTTTGTGTCCCCAGGCCCAAATATCCCATCTAACCTATACTAGGTGCTCCAAAATTATTTTCTGAACTGAACCATTTCCCATTCATGAGTGAATAACGGAAATAAAATCATCCCAGTAAAAGAAGTGGATTTTTTTTTCAGTTGCTGTCCAAAATATTCCCTTTCAGGAAATGTAAAAATGTTTTTATGAATGGTATATTGGAACCACAAGCACTGACTTTGTATTTCAAAGTTGGAAGAAATGAAATTGATGTCCCACACAGTTGTAAAATGCCAAAAATAAGTAAAGCTGGAATGAATTAAAGCCTCGTGCTCAGAAAGGCCAAGGAAAAGCTTCACATCAAGGATAGCTATAATTGAAAGGGTCCAAATAAGTATTTAAAACCACTCCTCCTGGGACTGCTAAGATTTCTGAATTTCAAATTGACATCTTATATTTGACAAGGTGACATTGTATAAGAAATGTATTGTAAAACACTGCTGTACGATAGGGAGATGATTGAATGTAAATATTTCAAGATGTGGACCACTGTTCAAATGTTATCATAAATCTTTGCCATTATTTTAGGGGATAACTCTTCATGCATATATGAGCTGAATTGATAGAGCTGGCTCTTGGAAGGGAAGTTATCAGTGGATTTCTGTCTGATACCACTAGTCTGACTTGACTACAAAAATATCCCATTAGATCTTTGCTCTACTTTTTTACTATTATTTTTAAATTTATGATAGAGTACATGCACACACATTACAGTGTGTGTGTGTGTGTGTGTGTGTGTGTGTGTGTGAGAGAGAGAGAGAGAGAGAGAGAGAGGAGCACTCTCAACAGAATCTTGTCATGCCACAATCCCTTCAGCTGATCAGATCTTGGGCGCTTGCACACGTGTTTCCAGCTAGCTAGGTCAGGGATTCGACCCACAGTCGCCTTATGAGGTCCATTACCACATGAACACTGCATTATCACTGCACTATGGAGCAGGCATAGTCTTTGCTATTGTTATACTATGCATATTTAAAACATAGGGAAACTTTTGTCCTGTTCACTGAGTGCTCTGAAATATCTCTGTTATGAGAAATTACAATGGATTGGGGTAATTTATACTTATAAATATTAACAATAAAAAAGCTTGGGCTACAAGACTAAAAATCCTTTCATTCTTTGTAGGTTTGGAAGGTTTACAGTTGCTGCCCTTCAGTCCAAAGTAGAGCAGTACGAACGTGAAACAAATCGTCTCAAGAAAGCCCTAGAACGAAGTGATAAGTATATAGAAGAACTAGAATCTCAAGTTGCACAGCTAAAAAATTCAAGTGAAGAGAAAGAAGTTATGAATTCCATTTGCCAGAGATCACTTTCTGTCGATGGCAAGGGGAGCAAGGGCAGTGAAGATGATGTGGCATCAAAGAATCAAGGTGATAGTGCCAGAAAGCAGCCCAGCTCAACCACTGTGAGTTCTTCTCACCTGGCAAAGCCTTCCAGCAGCAGACTCTCAGATACCAGTTCTGCCAGGCAAGAAAGCACCAGCAAAACAGAACTAAGCTGTTCTAAGAAAAAAGACCTCTATCAAAAACAGGTAGAAATAATGTTAGATGTGACAGATACTAGTATGGATTCTTATTTGGAAAGAGAGTGGGGTACAAAACCAAGTGATTGCGTACCCTACAAAGATGAAGAACTTTATGATCTTCCAGCTCCTTGTACTCCCTTGTCCCTTAGTTGCCTTCAGCTTAATACTCCAGAAAATAGAGAGAGCTCCATGGTTAAAGGTGGAAGTTCCACAAAGCACTCAAATCATCTCAGAAAGTTGGTATTTGATGATTTTTGTGGTTCTCCAAATGCTTCTAATAAAGATTCTTTAGAAGATGATATAAGTGGAAATGAAAATGAAAAGAAATCAGAATGTTTTACTTCTCCAAAGACAGGATTTTGGGACTGTTGTTCCACAAGCTATGCCCAGAGTTTGGATTTTGAAAGTTCAGAGGGAAACACAATAGCAGATTCTGTTGGAGAAATATCTTCAAAACTGAATGAGAAATCAGGCTCTTGCTTATCCAAGAAGTTGAATTCCATTCGCTCTTTTGAAATGAACCGGACAAGAACCTCCAGTGAAGCATCAATGGATGCTGCTTACCTGGACAAAATCTCTGAGTTGGATTCAATGATGTCCGAGTCAGACAACAGCAAGAGCCCTTGTAATAATGGTTTTAAGTCAGTGGATTTAGATGGCTTATCAAAGTCATCTCAAGGCAGTGAATTTCTTGAGGAAACTGATAAATTGGAAGAAAGAACTAAGCTAAACCTTTCTAAAGGTTCTTTAACTACTGACCAATTAGAAAATGGAAATGAATGGAAACCCACTTCTTTCTTCCTCCTTTCTCCATCTGACCAAGAAATGAATGAAGATTTTTCACTCCATCCCAGTTCGAATCCAGAAACTAATGAAATCAAACCCCCAAGCTGTTTGTTTCAGACAGAGTTTTCCCAGGGTGTCTTGTTAAGCAGTTCACATCGACTATTTGATGATCAAAGGTTTGGGTCATCTTTGTTTAAGATGTCCTCAGAGATGCATGGTCTTCCTAACCACCTCCAGTCTCCTTGGTCTACTTCCTTTGTGCCTGAAAAGAGGAATAAAAATGTGAATCAGTCAACAAAAAGAAAAATCCAGAGCAGTCTTTCCAATGCCAGCCCATCAAAAGCAACTAAAAGTTGACCCATTAGAAAGGTGTCCTTGGTGTTTTTGTCCTGAAAAGAACTTAAGAAATTTTAAAGTTACTTTTTTCTCCTCATAGAAGTTCTGTACAATTTTGAATGGGTAATCTTTAGTCAAGTGTCAGGCCACAATGGGTGGATTAACCTGTACTCAAAATAATTGTGTTCAATTTGAAAAGACTTGCTTGGTTATTTCATTTTTATCTGGGGATCTTTTGACCAGAGAAGGTTGGGAGACATTTGTTTGTTTTGTTTTTAATGACTGTTTTACATATCTGGGTTGGGTGTATTTTCTTTATTTAACTGTCATATATAGCAGCCTGGTAATGAGCCTCAGTTGTCTTCAGAATATGTATTTCATAAAGTAAAACTGTTAGTGATGTCTACACACTGCTTATAAGACAATGAGTTTCTTGAAAGCTTTTCCTAGAGTGGAAGTTAATTTTGCTTGCCCTTTTTAATTTATGTGTAATGATGCCTAACTTTTATTCAGTGCCATGGTGGAGAAATAGCACTCTAACCTTAGTCCAATATTCATCTACTTTTTAAAACTTTTATGTATATGTTTGCATTTTTAACATTGTTCTTTGTCTAGCTTTTGTGAAAACATCCTGCTAGCATAAAATACATTTTTGTATGAAAATATTTGTTTTATGTCAGGTAGCTTACATTTTCTCATCTTTGGTGTATGTGTGTAAAATCAGAAATTGAGCATACTTTGGAAGAAAGGAATGGAAGGTTACGTTTGAAGGAACCTAAATATCATAACTGTGTTTTTCCAGATGTCTAAGTGTAAAAACCTTCATTGCCAAGTTCTTGATCCACTTACATCCCAGGGGACGTTTTAGGTTTTTTTATTTGTTTGTTTTCTTTTTTCTCCTCCTTTTTTTATAGTGATAAGGCCCTAGTTTGCATGGTGCTGTTCTTTGTGGGAACTTTAAATGCATGGTAGCATTTTTGCTTGCTCTGTTTTCCATACTAAGAAAAAGAAGCTTCGTTGGTTAATAGAGTATCTTCTGTATAGGACAAAACTTGTTTTATTTCGTGAAGACTGTTGGGATGAGGATAAGAACTAAGCACAATTTTTAATTTAGGTTCTGAAAAATATTCTAAACATGTTTGGTGTGCCTACATAGGCCTTTAAAATGGGTTTATATGTTAGTGACTTGTTCGTCTAATGTGCACTGCACGTTTTACATTAATACCATACTGTTTTACATTAATACTGCATGCTTTTCTATGTGAACTGAATAAAAGATGTCATAAGCACTGTATTCCTTGACGTTGTCTCAGATCCTGAATTAGTCAATAAAGACCAGGAAAACTTATTTTTAATTGATTTTATAATACAGAGGTTGATAAGCCAAGGCTCAGGTGACTGCATCTGTTTTTGAAAGCCCTTTGAGCAAAAAATAAATTAATTAAAAGTTTTTTACATTTTTAAATGGTTTTTAAATATATCCAAAGAATATTTCATGACATAGGAAAATTATATGAAATCTAAATTTCAGTGTTTCTAAATAAAGTCTTATTAAAACACAGCTACCCTCATTTGTTTATGTATTATACAGGACTGCTTTTGCACTGTAACAGTAGAGTTGCATAGTTGTCACAGAGACTGTATGGGCCACAAAGTCTAAAATGTTTACTGTCTGGCCTTTTACAGGAAAAAAAAAATAAATTGACCCTTGCTATAATAGATTCTGAGGATTCAATGAAATATCATTTTTTTAATTTAAAAATTCATATAAAATAGCATTTTTAAGATTTGGGACTTAAAGAAAAAAAGATTTGAGGATTCATGCCCTCCACTTTTAGAAGTAATAATAGCCAGAGAAAGCTAATGTAAGTCATAACGTTTTTTAAAAAGAATTATTTTATTAAACTTTATTTATGTACTTATTTATTTAAACTTGACCATAGAGGGACAAAGTAAGAGAGAGAGGGAGAGAAAAAGCAAGCCTCCAGGTCTGGTACTCAAACCGTAGTCAGCCACGTGGGAGTCCAGTGCCCTTAACCACCACACCACCTGCCAGCCCCCATGTTTGTTTTATATATATTTTCTAATAATTACTTGTTCATTATTTCATCTTTCTATTATGATAAAGCTAAGTGATACTTTCCACAGGTATTAGCATTTCAAATATCTTTGATAATAGGTTTGTGTATTAGAAACTCAGAATGTAGAAATCTTAATTTAAGGGGTGTATGGTCTAAATGTCTCTCTCCCTCAGTTCATATGTTGAAACCTACCTGCCCCTTGCCAAGGTGATGGTATTACAAGGTGGGACCTTGAGGCCTACAGGTGGCATGGTGTTTAGGTGCTAGACTCCCACATGGTCAACTGCGGTTCAAGTCCTGGACCCGGCAGCTTGCTTTCTCACTTTCTCTCTGCCTGTCTGTTGAGTGTATGTGCCCTATTGCAAATTAAATAATAATAAATAAAGTTCCTTTTTTAAAAGCATTATATAACTTTATTTAAATTTGCCCAGAGAGGGACAGAGCACGTGAGAGAGACAAAGAGAAAGTGAGAAAGCAAGCCACCTGATCTGAGGCTCGAATCATAATTTGCCGTGTGGATGGGAGTCCGTCCAGTGCCCTTAATCGCCATGCCACCTGCTGGCCCCAATAAAATTAATTCTGTAAAAAAAAAAAAAAACAAAGTAGATAAAAGGTGGGACCTTTGGGAGGTGATCAGGTTATGAGGACTCTGCCCTTATGATTGAGATTAGTGCCCTTATAGAGGAAAATAAGAAGAGGTTGGAGGGAGCTTCATTGCTCCCTTCACTATGTGAGGACACAGCTAGAAGGTGCCATTATCTTTAAAGCCGAGAGCTAGTCCTCCAGAGACCAAATCTAGTGGAACCTTGTTCTTAGACTTCCCAGGCTCCAGAATTGTGAGAATTTTCTGTTGTTTATAAATTACCCAGGCTAAAGTGTTTTGTTATAGCTCAAACAGACTAAGACCTGACTCTGTAACCCAGAATGTGTCCATGTTAATCCAAATACATACTGATAGGGAATCACGGAAATCTGGATTGTGTAACCTGGTTTACTAATGACTAATCTGGGTGAGAGCATCTATATGAAACCAGAGTATTCCCGGGCAGCTTATCTTAAAAAACATCCCTTCATCTTCCCTAAAACAGTATTTCATACATTAATTAATTCCAAGCCATTTCTCAGTTAAAGGGAATAATCTTATCTGTGCAGAATGTTCTTTTAATCACACATACCCTCATTTATGCACTTTGCTTCTTTACCATAACCTGATGTTATGACCAATTTGGTGGTCCAAATTAAAATCTTTTACTGAGATCAAGTATTTTGTAACTTAACCTTTATCTCATCTGATGCGCTCCTCAAACCCTATTTGCCGGGCGCGTGTGTGTGCGTGCCCAAGATCCCAAGAGGAGAATGGAGGAGAAGGGATTGGGGCGTGACCATCCCCCCTGGGGGGTGATTTCTCGCTTTCTGTCTCTGTGTCTCTGTCTGCCTGGCGAGCGCACGCGCCCTATAGCGAAAACCTCTCCAAACAAAACAAAACAAAACAAAACCTATGAATCAAGTTCTGTTATCTCCAATACAGAAATGCAAATTGAGTATTAGTGACCACACAGCTGGAAAAGGATAGAACTGCGTCTTGGACCTGGGTCTTTAAAGTTTGTTTTCCTCTCTCGTATGTATGAGTTCACATTTGTAGACCAAACAGTGAATGCATTTGAAATTTCCAAAAAAAAATTAAGTAATATTCTGGCAAGTTTCTTTTCAAACACAATTTAATTCCTGCCTATGTTCCTGGCCCTCACTTTACCAAAGAGAAGCTTAATGAAGAGTTGGTGTGTGCCATTTTTAAGTTTAAAGATTCCCACTAGCCCTAACATGTAAATGAATTCAACCTTCCTCTGTTGGCTCATTTAACTGAGGATATGTTAGAAAAAGATTCACTAGTGATAGGAAGCAGTCCCTATTGTATAAAAACATTTGACCGGCCTCTCTCTCTAAAGTGGTATGGTTACAGGATGTGACAATAAAATGGAAGTCTTTCTCTTGTTCTATTGAATTAGCTGACAAAAACTGAAAGAAAAGATTCATAGCCCCTTAATTTCAAATCTGTTTTGTTTTCCTGTCATCTCTTTGGTATCTTCTTTGGTTTGAAACAAATAAAGGTGCCACCTAGCAAAAAAAGTTGGTTCTTGACCATATGACTTTTCAGGAACTTGTTTCTACATACTTGAGTAGTTTTCCATTATTCAAAGTGTAATATATGTGCTAGATTTTCTCCCCCTCAGTTTTGTACCTGTGGATATTTGAAGAGAGCTTTAAACTGGTATTAAGGGGTTATGGTGTCTGGTTTATTAGATTAGAAGGGTTTCCCAAAGCTTAAGAAGGTCTTGCATTCCTATTTGTGGAAGTCCTACAACACAGCCTTTGCCTATCACAGTGTAACCTGATCCCTTTCATAATACTTGGCAGAGAGAAAACCTTTTAAACACTGATCTCAGAGTGCAGACTGAACGTTTATTGCTAATTCTCGGAACCCCACTCTGAGCGAGGAAGCATCTATGAAGATGCAGATTTCTTTTAAAAACCCATCTGGAGCCCAGGCTAGGGCAATCTTCAGTTCCACGTGACTGATGCAGTCTAGAATACCTTGAGTTACAGCTAGGCTTCCTTGAAGCAAGGTAGATTTCTAGGTCCGCTGTGGCTTGATATGGAGAAGACTCCCTCTAACAAATGTTATATGTGTTGAACAAGGGCATAGAAGCATAACTCTTGTATGATATTTATAATTTGGCGGTTAAAAAGTCCTTTGCGGGGGTGCAAAGATTTGACTTAGACGTTTACTGAGACACACCTACTATGAGAAGGAGGGATGCGATTCTGATCCATTTCGATTCTTAACAACTGGTGAGTAGCAAAGTGCGCTAGGCAGGCCGTGGGACAGTGAGGCAATCTGGCGGTTTCATGAAGTGCCACATTCATAAAGGGTCTTGAAGGATGAATAAGAGTTTGGGGCGGAAGAGAACATCTCTTCTGCGTGTCCGGATATGCTGGAGGAGATCTTCTTTTAGCGGCCTCAGAAGTGCTGAGGGAACCATTCCCAAGCGTCTGGACTCCTGATTGCTCCCGATGAGCTTGCAAATTTGACTTTGCTCCGCCACAGCTCTGAGTCTCCTGAGGCTCTTGAGCGGCCTGATGGCGAGACAGTGACTCCCTGGGCGCAGAAAGGCTCAGCAGGTGGCGGGGTTGGCCCCTCATCTGGCCATTAAGCCGAGACTTGACCCCCTGAGGGCGGGAAGGGACGACCTCACCTCCCCCACGGGGTCATCTTTGTGTTGGGAATAGAGGGGTGGAGTCTGGCCCGCCGTCCCTGCGTTCCCTTCCCTCCCTTGGATTTCACCGGACTGCGCCTTCCCGGATTCCCGACGCCAATGAGGGGGGCTCCTTCCTCCTCCGCGTCCGCCCTTCCCCCATCCCCAGTCTCTCCGGAGGACCAGACCCACCCTCGCCCGGGTACCGGAGTTTCCCGAGCTCCAAGGGAGCTCTCGGCGGGTCCCGCCCAGGCCCCACCCGGACGGCTCCCTCTGCGGTTTCTTTTCATTTTATTACCACTCTCAAAACCTGG